AGTCTGTAACCCTGAACTCAACCAACCCATGCAGCAAGATAAATATTCTGCTGTAAAAATAATATTTATGGCTGCAGTTAATACGTCTGGCCCTGCTTTTAGTGAACAAAGCAGGAGGAAGATGCTCTGAAATACAGAACAAGTAAAAAACATTTCTCTCTTCAGGAACAATAAAATAAAATGAGGATACAACTGTTCCTAATGAAAAAAATTCACAAGGTTAGGTGTGACTGAACCGAAGTTACACCTTGAGAGTGCTTAAAATGTGGTGGGTGAGGGTTTGTCCAGGTGCTGGTTCTGCAGCAGAATCACAGATTCAGGATGCCCATTTGAGAACCACCTCGAGACACTGGAATTAAAGAGTCAGGACAGCATCTCAGGGTTTTTAATGAGTAGTTTCTTGTCCATATAAAGCCAGTGCCTATCTGCATTTTTCTAACTCCTGTTTATTTTTTATAGGTGTTGGGATTTTATTTATATTACACCCGGGTTGACTAGTACATACTATATTTTTCAGGGAAGTATTCAGCAAGTATTTTTTTCCAAAAATACTTGGCGTATATTTAGTAAATGATTGGCACACTTTGGGATTTCCCTGTAACAGACACCCGGTGCTCATTTACTGAAAAACACAAACACTGACGAAAATGAGGCAGGGATAAAAGCGCCGAGCCCGAGGAACGGAGACGAGAAGGGCTGGAAAAAGGGATCCGTGTGTCCCCCCCCGGTTCCCTCCCGGTGCTGCGGGAGCACCTGGAGGGATCTCGGAGCCGCGGGGCTCCGGTGCCATCTGCCGGGAACACCGAGCACGGCAAGCGGGGACCGCCACCGCCACCCGGGAGAGAGCCGGGAGAGCTCAGCCGGAAAAAAAAAAAAGGAGGCTCAAAGGGACCTTGTGGAGCTCCACAACTCCCTGGAGGGAGATTCTAGCCAGGTGTGGGTCAGTCTGTCCTCCCAAAAGCCTCGAGCTGCAATAGGTTGGATATTTGGGAAAGATTCTTCACCAAAAGGGTGAAGCCCTGGAAGAGGCTGCCCGGGGTAGTGGTGGAGTTATCATTCCCTGGAAGTGTTCAAAAAACATCTTGATGTGGCACTTCAACAGCAGAGTTACCCTGAAGTGTCCCCTGATGGCTCTGATCTTATCCTATCTATGACACTTACAGAAAAACTAATTTGATTGCAAAAGGCTCCTCAGTTTTTATTTCAGCTGCAATCTGAACTCCACGTTGCACTGAGGGCAGTGGATTTTCCACAGTATGTGGACATCAACCAGCAGCAAGGTCTCTTAAAGGAAAGGGACACACTTCAAACACTTCAGTGAATCCATTGTGTCCTGACATTCTCCTTTTTGGGCAGCTCTTAATCACGAGTACATTTGTGGGATGTATTTTAGCAGCAAGACGTTGGCTGTGTTTCAGATTATGGCCATCCATATCTAGATAAAGCCCGGGGTAGCCATCCTGCTGGGAATCTGCAGGGAAAACAAGGGCTAATTCTGCTCTGCACATGATGCAAGTCAACTGCAATCCTTCTCCTCCCCATTTTTTCCTTTCCTTCTTTTTTTCCACATCAGCATTGCTGGGAACCACACAGTGTCCCAGCTGCCGAAACCAGCTCCAGCAGGGCAGGCCATCTGCCTGCTCCAGCTAGACTGTGGCTGGTCACACATTAACTCCTTTAAACAGGCCTGTGTTAAGGTATCAACCTCCCAAAATGCTGCTAAGGATTCACTGAAGGTCTAAAACCACCACATGGAATTTGACCCTTCAAATTCCTCCAACTGGTGTTGCAATCCTGTTAATATCTGGATTGCTGAGGGCAATGACCCTCCTCATCGTCTGTGGCTCCAGAAGATGAGTCCTGCTGAATCCCACGGGGCAGCTGGCAAGGTCCTTGTCCCTGTCACAGAGGCAGAGGCAGTGCCAGGTTTGTTGTGCCAGTGATGGGGGAGGCCTCAGGGCACCCCTGCTCATCCAGCCAGCTCCTGGGATGCCCATTCCACCATTTCCCAGCAGGACTGAGATCCACGTGTAACCACGGAAACACAAAACAGCGCTTCTGAAAACGACCAGAGTTAATTTCAAACAACACCGGCAAAACACAAGGAAAGGGATTTCAATCACAACCCTTCTGTGTGTATTTGGCTCTCTGGGGGCTACTCCAGGACCTGGCTCCTGGGACTGGGAGGGAAATCTTCTCCCCAAGCTTCTAAAGATGGGCCTTTTTATTTTCAAAGTCCTTTCCCCCAGGTTTCTGCCCGATTCTCTCCCTGCTCTTCACCAGGCCAGGGTATTGATCTCAGCAGGGTCACCAGTAAACTTCAAAAGGACTCACACTTGCACTGCTGGTTTAGGACCATGAATAGCACCATCTGAGCCTTATCATTTCCCCTCTGCTTCCAAGGGAGATAAGGGCACGGCAGGAACCCTCCAGCCATCTCACAGCCAGGCTGGTGACAGTCACACCACCAGCCATTTATCACCTTTTCCCAAAAACATTTCTGTTTCTTCAGAGCTGTCCCTGCAGCACTATCGTACACCCACAGGCCACAGAGAGCAGCAGGGAAAGATCACGATTCACCACTACTACTATATAAATTTCCATGATGTCACATCATATTTGAAGGGACAAGGGGATAACCGAAACATTAACTGAGACATTACATTTCGGGCTGGTGACTTAGCTATAAGGCACCAGGGCAGCATTTAAACAGCTGGAAAACCGAGACCCACTTTCCACTGTAATTTTCCATGCGTTAGCAATAGGTTTGGTTACAGCTGCTTGGTTACAAGTACCTGCACTTAGGTAAAATTTCACCCAGCCTCTGACCCAAACCAAATCTCCTTCTTGCCTGGTGCTGGGCAAACACAGCCATTCCAAACTCATCCTGCCAGCTGCACCACTGGGCACCGGCCTGCTGGGTGGCAATCCCTGGATCAGGGACAATCCCTGCTCATGAGGTGCTGGTGAGTGGATGGAGAAGGGAAGGCTGCCCAGAGCCGGCTGCCCTCCACTGTTTCCATGATGCTGATGGCAGAGGGGACATTCCTTTGCTCAATGTCCTGTTCCTGCCTTAGCCCCTGTGTTAGGGAACCCACGTCACAGACAGCACCTAGGGACTCCTAAACCATCGTCCCACAAAGAGTTCCCCAGTCCATAACGACCACATGGGAGTCTCTGGACCTCTGGTGACCTTGATCAACACGTGTCTCATCGGGGGATCTCCTGCTCAGAGCGGATGAGCAGGAGAGCTCCAGATGCCAGTGAACAAACAGGGGGGTTCCCTGTTCTTTGCCCAGCAGATCCCCAAACCACCAACATCAACAGGGGATCCCCAACCCCCCAAAAACCCCGCGACGGGCTCTGGCTCTGGCCAACGCGTGTGTGCGGAGAATCCCCAGCTGCCGACTCTGGAGTCCCGCTCCCGTCCGGCGGAGGGTCCCAGCCCTGACCCGGCGCACGGAGCTGCCTGTGCCGAGCCATACCGAGCTATACCGAGCCGTTCCGCCCCGCCCACAGCCCAAGTGGCCCCGGGGGCGGAGGCGACCGTGCCGTGCCCATAAGGCGGGCGGGGGGTGGCGCGGGCGGTACCGGCGGCGATGGCGGCAGCGCGGTGCCTGCGGAGCGCCCGGCGCCTCCTGCCCGCGGGGGCACGGCACGAGTGCTTCGAGCTGGCCCGGCTGGCGGGGCCCGTGGTGAGACCCTGGGCGGGGTGAGACGGGGAGGGACACGGGGGACCCTCGGGGGACACGGTGTCCTCCCGCCGGAGGTGCGGGAGCGCGTCCCCGGGACGGGGATGGCGGCGGGGCTCGGCTGTCCGCAGCATCCCCGGGCGCTGCGGGATGCCCAGGAGGGAGACTTCGGGTCCTGCTGGTCCCGTGCTGCGGGGTTTCGGCTGTCTCCAGCCCCCGGGCAGGGCTCTGTGACCGTGGATGTGCCTCCCGCCCTCTCCGGGGCCGCAGCGCGGTCCCTCCGCCACTCTCCATGCCTGGGTTGGCTCCCGGATCCTTATTCTTTGCCCCAGGCGCTCTTGCTGCTGCCCAGCGTGGTCCCTGAAGCATGGCTGTGGAAGAGCAGTGGTGGGCTCGGGGAGGGGGACTAAGCTGTTAAACTGCTCTGTGAAACCACGCCTAAGCCATGCCACTGCCACTGTCACTCACCCCTTAGGTGACAGTGAGTCACTCTGCTTAGCGCCAGGTCCATGGCTGACCCTTCCGGTGGGTGTCCTTTGGCTCGCTGTCCTGAAATCCTCCCTGGACTGGAGCTGCCGTTTGCCATTTATCTGGACCCTCTGGAGGGAAATGGACCCTTAGGTAGCTGGCACAGACAGTGCTGAGCACATTTTGGAGAGGCTTCCACAGATGAAAAGGAACCATGAGAAACCAAGAGGAACCGTGCATCATAGCCCTTATCTTAATCACTCACGTGTGAAATTCTGTGCTTTTAGTCTTCTGCTATATCTGGTAAATAAGTACAAACTGAAACTTCTCAGAGGCACCCTTCCTGACATCAAACCCCTGACCTGCTGTGTTCAGTCAGCTGAGGAAGTCTAGACTAGTTTGTTTCTGTAACTGAACACATCAAGTCCTCCCAGTCCCCCAGCCATCCTGCCTGCAGCACAGCCTGCTCCTCCACGTGCACAGACACCTCAAACCCAAACCTCCAGCTGCTGTTTAACGATCATTTCATGATAAATGCCGTGCTGGGATGATGCTGGAGGTACAGACCCCTCCTGTGGGGATTACTCACAGCAGTAGGTCGAACATGCCTGGGCATGGTGGCAGGACTGCATCTGCAGGCAGCAGTGGGAGGTCTGCAGAGGAGAAGGGATTGTTCTGCTCTTCCTCTGACCCCCCAGAGCTGGTTTTCCAGCAGCTCTAGGCTCTTGTCTTGCCAGCTGCTGTGTGGGAAGGAGCATGAACAGCTCCTGGCCATGGCTTCCAGCCGTGCCCACCCCTCGGTGGGTATGAATGTCCCTAACTCCTGCCATCTGTTTTGAGCTGTGCCATGACTCTGTGCCCTGGATGCCTGTAAGGGGGACATCCTCTTGCCAAGGGAAAATGAGGTCTGGAGTGCAATCTCTGCTGCAGCATTGTTACACACTGCTGGCAAGGAACATGCAGGCTGGCCTTGGTGTCTCTCCAGGAGGAGAGGATGTTGTGGTTTTGGAGGATAGTTTTCCACGGACGCACGCAAATGTGGAAAAGCACTGGGATGTTTTAATTTCCCTTCTTTATGCGGCCTTCATCCTGGGAAAGAGGATTTCTAGTGAAGCCTCTCTTAAATGGGGTCATCTGGCAGATTGGCTGTGTAACACCAAAATATCACAGGGCACGTAGATGTTGGCTTGAAACGACAAAGCTACTGAGAGCCTGCTTGAGTCCTGGAGCTGCCTCCCCTGCCCAGCAGTGTTGGCAAGCAAGGACGGGTTCCCAGGACCTCAGCAGAGCCCTGGCCTCGAGGCATGGACAGAAACATGAGGAAACCTGAGTGTTCATAGTCCATCTCCTGGGGGAGGGATGGTGTTCCACAAGCCCCAACAGGTCCACATCTCACCATCTCCTTCTCCTCTCGTCCTAGTTCTTTGCCCAGCTGCTGGGGTTCCTGATCAGCGTGGTCAGCTCCATCTTCTGTGGCCACCTGGGGAAAGCTGAGCTGGATGCTGTGACCCTGGCTGTGTCTGTACGTATTGCTCCAATTCTCCTTGGATTTAAAACATATTATGTGTCAACAAAAAAAGAAGAACTAAAAAAACCAGACCTGTAGGAATGTACATGTGAGGGCCCTGTTCTTTTTTTTTTTTTTCCCTGAGCACAGGCAGGAGAGGGGAGCTGAGCAGTCAGTGCCTGTGCCAGTGCAAGGCCAGCACCTGAGAGTCTCTGGCCAGTTCCCTGAACCCACCAGACCTGGGCATGTAGCCAGGAGCAGCACTGTGTGGTGGTGCTTCAGATCTTCTTACTAGAAGATCCTTTTCCCCACTATTTAGTTAAGAGACCATGTTATTCTGAGAAATAGAGAAGGACTGGAAAATTTCCCAAAAACTTGTAGCAGAACTGTCTCCCCACCCAGCTGGGAGGGAGACAGTGCTGTGGGCCAGGTTCCCCTGTCTCTCCTCCAGGTTATCAACGTGACAGGAATCTCCATCGGTTCTGGCTTAGCCTCAGCCTGTGACACTCTGATGACCCAGGTCAGTAGCAGCTCCCCCTTTCCTTTGCCTGGGGATGTTTGCTGGTGGTGTGTCCCCTCCTGTGCAGTGTGATCTGGGCACAAAGGACAGGGCTGTGGCAACTGCCAGACAGAACAGGGTTGCAAACACTCTGGCTGGAGCCTGCTGCCTACCCAGGGAGCCCTGGGTCATGCCTGGGTGCCAAAGGATTTGCAATCTGCAAATTACACCCAGCCAGCCTGGTATTTGCATCTGCAGGGCATGAGAAAGGCATTTAACTGTCCTGTTGTTGCACTGAGTGTTTGCCCAGCCCCTTTGGCTCCCTGTGATGCCCACCTTGATCCTCTCTCCTGACCCAGACATATGGCAGCAAGAACCTGAAGCAGGTGGGCACCATCCTGCAGCGAGGCATCCTCATCCTGCTGCTGTTCTGCTTCCCTTGCTGGGCCCTCTTCATCAACACCGAGAGGATCCTTCTGCTCATCCGACAGGACCCCGAGGTCTCCAGGTCAGGGATGAGATCCAGCCCTTCTGGATCAGGCATTTGCCATGGAGTGTTGAAATCCAGGCTCTCTGGAGTTTGAGTGCAGTGCTGTTTGCCTTGGCTCTTGCTTTGCTGTATCATTAACTGAGGAAACAACTCTCTTTCCAGGTTAACTCAGCTCTACGTGATGATCTTTATTCCAGCACTTCCTGTAAGTCTCTGCTAAAGCTGTTAGAAGCTCTGTATCCCTTAATAACACCAGGGAAAGGAGGGAGGGCCTTTGCAGTGTGGCTCACAGAGCAGGTTTAGGGTTTTACAATGTGCCCCTTGACCTTGTGCCTTACCAGATGTGCACAGGCCAGCAGCTGCTGGACCAGCAAACAGGGGCTCTCTCATCTTCCTGTGCAAAGGCTTCTGCTGTGGCCCCATAACTTGTGATGGACATTGGAACCACTGCCTCCTGGCTCACTCTCAGCCCTGAGATTAAGGCTGGAGCTGTTCCCACACTCACAGCTGCTGGGCTCTGCCTCCTCTGAGGCAGGGAGCAGTACCCCTGTGGGGTAAGGGTCTGTAGGTTTATCCTTTCTCCCAAGTTTTCCAGACTTTCTCATGCTGACGAGAAGGCATTGGAGATTTCCCATTTGGAGACTGATCTGTCTTTCCAATGGGAATGGGATGTGCTTTCTGCCACTCTTGGTTTTGGGTGCTGGCAGTGCTTCAGCTGGAGCACAGGGGTTTTGGAAGAAGGTGGAGGGGGTTTGAACTGTCAGTGTTCAGTGGTCACTTGGCTGTTGAACCACAGTGTGGTGATGAACTGAATCCTGACTTTTGCAGGCGGTGTTTCTGTTCCAGCTGCTGACAAGATATTTACTGAGTCAGGTATTGTACAATCAGCCATGTTCTGGCCATGGAATAAAGGTATTCCCAGGAACATGGGTCTAAGTTCACCCTGTTCTGGGGAGAACTGGGGTGAGGAATGTGTGATGAGCCAGCCCTGGCTGAGCTCACGAGAACCACTCTTAGCTGGCTCCATTTCCTACTTCCCAACTCTGTGTTTTATGGGTTGCACCAGCTCCTGAGCTCTGCTTATCACCTCCTGCATGTCCCACACAGCCCAGCCTCACCTGGAACCTGAGCTGCCTTCTTGACTTTCTCCTTGGGCATTGCTGGAGGTCTCCCCTGTGTTCACTGGATGGGGCTTGGGCTGCATATTGGGGAAGCAAATTCCAAAGTTCCTCCTTGGTTTCCAGGAGATCATTATGCCTCAGGTGGTGACAGGGATTGCAGCCAACATCCTCAATGCTGCCATGAACGCCTTCCTCCTCTATGCTCTGAAGCTGGGCATGGTGTAAGTGTGAGCAAGCCTGGGGACAGGCTCTCCCTGGGTGCAGGGAGAGGAGCTTCCCTGTGTGCCCAGTTCTGCACCCCCTCCCTCCAGCCCCCAGCCTGCAAAGCTGGGGCTGGAGGGGTCTGTCCCATATCTGTAGCAATGTTGCAGGTCCATCCTGCTGTGGCTGAGTAGGTGAGCAAGGACGTCACTTGTAACTTGCCTGTCTCTCTCTCCAGGGGCTCTGCCTGGGCTAACATGGTTTCTCAGTACACCCAGGTCATCCTCCTTGTCCTTTACATGTGGTGGAGGAAGATCCATGTGAAGACCTGGGGAGGTACTGTTCTATCCTAATCCTGCAGAATACCAGTGTCTGGCACTGGGAATTTGGCATTGTGACAAAGGGATTGTCATCCTCTCACAGTGGGGAGATGCTGTAGCCGTGTCCTCAAGGCCTTTACTGTACCTCCAAACACATTCTTGCTGAATATTCTGTCTCAGGAATGCAGCATGGCACAGCAGCAATCCTGGGCTGATGTCCTGTGAGCTGCAGGGGTGGCTGTCCTCGAAGAGAGGATGTGGCTCCCCTTTAGGGGAGCAGTTGGATAACAAATGTTCATTCTGCTTCACCTCCTCCTGTCAGGCTGGAGCAGGGAGTGCCTCGTGGACTGGGGCTCCTTCATCTGGCTGGCAGTGCCTGGCATGGTCATGCTGTGCATTGAGTGGTGGACCTTTGAGATTGGGAGCTTCTTGGCTGGTGAGTCCAAATCCTCTTTTCCCTCTGGTTCCTGGTGGCTGCTGCTTGAGTGTGTCCCCAGAGCCCCCTGCCAGCAGCAGCCTCCTCAACTACAGGGCTGGCTCTGCAGCACACTGCAGGTGCTCCCATCTATTCCACGGGGATAGGTGCCTCCTTTTCAGCCAGTGAAGGAGGTGGCAAATCTTTTCCAGGGCTGATCAGTGTGGTGGAGCTGGGTGCACAATCTGTCATCTATGAGCTCGCCTGTGTCGCATACATGGTAAGGGCTGGGGGTGTGAAAGCCCAAACTGCCTGGGAGGAACCCCAAAACAGTGGCCCTGGGGATCAGTGCTGAGGTGGGAAGCAGGGGATGGTACCAGGCAGGTGATGCCTCTCAAGTCTGCACATCCAGGGTGTGCTGCAGATGGAAAATCCCTTCACTGCAGCAATGCCAATTTCTCCCAAATTCCCCACTGGGGAAGAAGAAAATCACTGCAGGCTCTGCTGTCACTGCAGGCTCTGCTGTCACTCACCTCCTCTTGTCTCCTGCTTCTCAGGTGCCTCTGGGCATCAGCGTGGCTGCGAGTGTCAGAGTGGGGAATGCCTTGGGAGCAGGGAATGTGGAGCAAGCCAAGACCTCCTGTATCACTGCACTGCTGTGCACAGGTTAGTGCAGTCCTGCAGAGCAGAATAAAGGGCAATTATCAGCAAATGCTTCAGCTTCCCTCCCCCAGGGCTCCCACAGGAACCCAGTCCCACTTGTTTGGACCCTTTGGGCAAGGCAAGGTCCTGACTCATCTTTTCTGTTATGAACCTGGTGCAAAGGCTTTGATAATTAAAAATGCAGCTTAGTGTTCTGTCTTCACATTCCAGAGGGTAGAGGGAGTATCTGGGGAGAGTCAGAGGCAAACAGACTTGTCCTCTGCTGCAGTATCATTTGAGGTCAGCAAAGTCCAGTCCCCACCACATGGGGCCCCTGAGGTCTGGGGCTGAGTCAGGAACAGGATGTGCTGCCCTGGAAGAAATTTGACTATTCCTTTTTCTTTCAGGAGTTTTCGCTGTGGTGGTTGCAGCATTGCTGGGGAGCCTAAGGAACGTGGTGGGATACATCTTCACCAACGACACGTGGGTTAACAGCTTTCTTTTAAGTATTACTGCCTTCTTGGAGGCTGTTATTAATACCCCAGAAACTTCTGACAAATGAGTTCATAAACCCCTATCTGGCAAACGTTCCTCAAAGGTTCCTCCCCCTTTCCCAGCATCTCTGGGCAGCACAGCTGCTTCTCACACTGGGACAGGCTGGGATCAGGGAACTGGGATCAGCCTTTGTGGTTGATTGAGGAAGATATGTGAGAAGGAGGGACCAGGTGGCGCTGCTTCTCCTGATCATCCATCCATCTTCCCAACAGGGAGATTGTCAGCTTGGTGTCCAAAGTGATGCTCATCTTCGGTCCGTTCCACTTGCTGGATGCAACAGCTGTGAGTATTCTGGCACGTGGAGTGATTCTTCTCTGCAGCTGGGGGTGCAAAGCTGCCTGAACCCCACTCTGGACCTGTTAAAATGATCCACAGAAGCAAACTGAGAAACTGTCAAAGTAGCTGCTTGTGTTACCTGTGACAGCTCAGTGTCCCTTGTGCTTGTGCCTGCTCCTTGGCATTGCTGCAGACACCCCAGTTCTTCCTCCTCTTTTCCCCTGGCCAAGGCTCCAGCTTTTTACTGGAGCAAAGCAACACAAGTGAGCAGCTGTGTCTTCAGAGATACCAGGTTCTCCCAGCACACCGGGATACTCAATAGACAGAAATTTGGGCCTGTTTCCTCCTGTCGTGTCCTGGGGGAGACACCTGGGGAAGCCCTTTGGCATCTGCTCGGTGTCTGTGTTGGCAGCTGGAGTGGGACAAGCCCCACACCAGAACATGGCTTTGCTCCCTCTTGGCTCGGAGGGACAGTGCTGTGGGTTTCCCTGTCCCCAGGGCTGTGCCATGCCCGGAGTGGCCTGGCAGTGACCCCTGTGCCTGCTCTCCTCAGAGCACGTGTGGCGGGGTGCTGCGGGGCACGGGCAAGCAGAAGCTGGGCGCCATCGCCAACGCCATCGGATATTACACCATCGGCTTCCCCATCGGCATCTCCCTGATGTTTGCAGCCAGGATGGGGGTGTTAGGTAAGTGTGCCCTCCAGCTGGAATGCTGTGAGATGTGTTGAGCAAAGGCTCAGCCCTGGAACTCGTGCCTGGATCTTCCTTCGGATCACTGGGTCTGGATTGCACGCTGCTGTGTTTGGGGCAGGCACTGAGTGTGTTGCAGTAAAGCCAGGCTTACTCTCATCTTCCCTGGGAGGTGTTTCTTTGAAAGTTCTTGGGCTGAAGTCCTTGGGCATTCTGGAATGACTGGCAAAGGCAGGTTTTCCTCAAGCCCTCGCTGAAATAACTTCCCACTGCTGCAGGTCTGTGGGTTGGGATGATCATTTGCATCTCCGTGCAAGCCCTTTCCTTCTTGGCTTTTGTCATCCGAATGGATTGGAAGAAAGCTGCAGAGGAGGTGAGAATTGTGCTTTTCTCTGGTAATTCTTGAAAGGTGCTGAGTTAACTCCTGTTTCAGTACAACCTACAGCCCTCTAGGAGGTGGCAGAAGTGAACTAAAGTCTGTCCTCCTGTAGCAGAGGAGCAGTTTGGTACTGAGAATGCTTGTCTTGGGAGAGTGGAGGGTTTTTTGGGCTGGGCAGGACACCCTTGCCCTGAGAAGAGCAACTCTTCCCTGTGTTTTTAGGCTCAAGTCCGAGCTGGAATGAAAGAACAAGTGGAAGATGTGAACTCCAATGGCACAGCTGCTAACAAAACATCTGCTGTGGGTACGTAGCTGGGCCTGACACCAGGCAGGGAGCCCGAATTCTCCACCCAACCCCTTCCTTTCCTTCCCAATTATGGCAACCATATCTGTCCTGGAGGCTCAAATTGCTCTAAAGAGCACAGTGCCTGGTGCTGGCCCTGGGCCAGTGGCACTTCTCCTGCACTTTGTAACAGGGTACAGCTTGCAGCTGTGTGCCAGTGTCCCCAGACATTGGGAAAGGGCCCTGAGGGCTATCACACGTGCTTGTGCAATGTGGAAGCCGCTGTCTGGGCAGCTCAGCCTCCCTGCAGCTCTCTCTGTCCCACAGGTTACACCTCCCTTGACACAGACACCGGGGACACCGCGGTCCTGCCCGAGAGCATCGTGATGGGGGAGAGGCAGCCTGACCACGAGCTCAGCACACAGGAGGAGCCCGTTGTCGTTGTCCCTGTTCTTCCCCCTGTGGCATGGAGGGCTGTGATCTTCCACCGTGTGCTGGCTGCTGCTGCTGCCATCGCTGTCCTGCTGGTGGGAATCCTGGTCCGGCTCCTGACTGGCAATGGCTAAAACCGGGGACACTGAGGAGCTGTGCATGGAGCAGGAGGGCACGTGGCAATGTCCCAGAGGATGGTTGGACAAGGAATTCCCCTGCAGTGCCTTACAAAAAGTCTCTTTGCACAGTTTCTGGTTAACTCACAATGTTTTATCCCACACGCAGAGTTCTTCAAGGGGGTGAGGATGTGGCACCTGGGGAAAAAAAAAAAAAGTGCTTGAGAGCTGGTTCCTCTCTTGCACTGCACTGGGATGTCACCTGTGAAAGGTGGGAGTGCATCCTGGGGCTGACCTGAGAAGAAGACAGGGTCCTGGTGCTGCTGTCCTTCTCTCTGGGGACACTGGACCGTGTCATTTGCTCATGGCAGAGGCTCCTGCTGCCCACAGCACGTTTCCTCACACACCAGCCTGTACCAGCATCTTGGGGTGGCAAATCCCACTTGCAGCCGTTGTGGCAGCACAGAACAAAATAGATTTTGCTGGAAGATGTCTGACTCTGCTGTTGGGTGCTGGCTGCTGGCCCTGACCCTGCTCTCCCTCTGCAGGCACAGGGCCTAAAGCAACTCTTCTTTGCACTTTTGTAAGGTGGGATTTTGATACAATAAAGTTTTCTGAGTAAATGTTAGGCTGTTTAATATGCTGTGAGCATGACCCTGGTCATTGGCAGGATTGTGCTGTTAAGAGGAAAGATTGTGGGTCTGGTCCTGGCCCTAAGGCTTGAGGCTGGCTCCAGACACGGTGTTACCACTCTTCCCCTTGGGTACAAAAGTAGGATTTGTTGTTGTCATGTTTGTTGAGCACCGTGGAAGAGGGAGGTTGTGTTGCTACGGAGCCATCAAAGAACTGCCCGATGTCATAATGCAAACATCCCAGCACTGAGTCCCTGGGGGCCTGTCCCGGGCTCTTAGCTGCAGCTCAGTGACTGTGACATGTCAGCTGCTGGGCCCTGGGCAGTCAATACCTCATACGGATATGTGGCACCTCCCTGCCACCCCACAGCTCTCCTGGTGCTGGTGGCCTGTGAACGAAAAAAAGTGACACGAACAAGCCTGAAGCTGCCACCATGCCCACCACCAGCGGGAGGATGTGGCAGACTCTGCCCTGCTCAGAATCCCAGTAGGTTTGGGATGGAGTCAGGGGGGAGCAGGAAGGTGTCTCGCTCTGTCCCATGAGTTATCCCAGCCCACCGCCCACTCCGTGCAGGTGGGCTGGGCATTGGGCAGCATCTCCCCCTCCCTGCTGGGCCAAGGACACTGCACTCGGCCCGGGGGGAGCGGTGCCAGTGAAACCCGACACGGCGGGGCTGTGCCGGGGACAGCTGGAGCCAAGGGGGCTGGCTTGTCCCGGCCACTGTGATGGGAGAGAGCGAGCCACAGCCCCGCCACTGCCGGCAGCGCACAGACACAGCGAGGGCAGGACGAGCCTCCAGCCACTGCCTGTGGAGCTGTGGTGAAGCAGGAGAGGTAGGAGGGAGCACAGGGTGGATTTAGGATGGCTCAGCCCCTTAAGCTGGCTCAGGACAGGCAGCGAGCGCCTCGCACTCTCTGCGCTGAGCTGCCAGGACCCTCGCTGGGCTCCGGCTCTCCGTGCCCTGCCCTGACCCAGTGCCCACGCTTCCCATGGCCAGCCCAGCCGCGGGGGGACATCGCCCAGCCCCGGCTGAAGTTCAGCCCGCCGTGGTTACACATTGCTCGCCCCAGCCGGGTTTAACAGAGCGCGGAGGAAGGGGCTCGTTCCACTCCCCGGCAGGGCAGCATGAAGCCGGAGAACTTCCCCGAGGAGAATGGCTTCGGGGAGGGAAAGGCCGCTAGCCAGGGCAACCTCACGGCCGGGAGCTGCCAGAAGAAACGTCGCTGGATGCCCGACAACTTCTGGGGGGACGTGAGGCAGCTGCTGGTGCTGGCGGGGCCGCTGGTAAGGAGCCGGGAGGAGAGATTCCCTCCAGCACAAGCACCCCTGCTCATCTCCATCCCTAACCTCCAGCTCTCCTCCGCTCTTAGATCCTGATCCAGCTGCTGATCTTCCTGATCCACCTTGTCAGCTCCATATTCTGTGGCCACTTGGGCAAGGTTGAGCTGGCCTCTGTCACGCTGGCCATCGCTGTAAGCATTCCCGGGGCCGGGCACCAGCTCCCTCCCTGCTGACACGGGGATCAGATGTGGCAGGGGAAAAGGACAGGGGAGAGTTCAGACTCTCACTTTTCCTTTCAGCCCCTCTTCCCAACCAAAAGGCTTAAATGCTCACCTTCGCTGTTGTTTTTTTAATCCCAGGTTATAAATGTCACTGCCATCTCTGTAGGTTATGGTTTGACTTCAGCGTGTGACACCTTGATATCTCAGGTGGGTAGGACCTGCTGGCACTTGTCTTAGGGACACGGGGGATTTCCAGCATCAGCTGATGATGCCCAGGCACCACACGGAGCCCTGGCTGGTCCTGCAAGCTGGGGAAGCTTATTCCTGGGTAAAAATCCCATAACGAGATCTGTGCTCCAAACCCTTCCCAGGGTTTTCAGGGTGGTCAGAGCTGCTCCATACTCTTCAGTGCCCCCTTTCCCCCAGCACCAGCTGATTTCGCTGCTGCCCTCTCACCCTACAGACTTATGGCAGCAAGAACCTGCTGCGGGTGGGGGTGATCCTGCAGCGTGCCACCATCATCATCCTCCTCTGCTGCTTCCCTTGCTGTGCCATCCTCATCAACATCGAGCAGCTGATGCTGGTCATGAAGCAAGATCGTGAGGTCTCCAGGTTGGGTGGTCCCCTCATCCCTCCTCAGTGTGGAGGGGCTGAGAGGACGGTGGCCATGGCCATGCCCCTCCCTGACCCCCCCTCTGTGTGCCCCCAGGCTGACCCAGCACTACGTGAATGCATTTCTGCCTGCTCTCCCGGTGAGTCCTGAATGCCACCTGCACGTGGGGACAGGCTGTCCCCGTCCTACAGCTCGGCACTGGCTCACCTCATCCAAAACTTCCTTTGCAGGCGGTTTTTCTGTATAACCTGGAGACAAGATACCTGCAGAACCAGGTGAGTGCCAAAGCCCTCACAGCCACTCTGGTTCAGGGCTCCCTTCCACAGTGCATCCAGCGTTCCCATGCTGGCTGTTCCCAGTGACAAGATGCCCAGGTGCTCCAAAAGAGCTCTGACCCTGTAGATCATCCCATTCCACAGCCAGCTGTATCCATGCACCTCCCTTCATACTTCCCCACATCAGGGGTTTACCTCCATCATGCTCTTTTTCCAAGCAGGTGACATCACTGGAAGTTTGGGGTTTTTTTTTTCTGGGAAAGTCACTGAGAGTGGGGCTGGGGGGACGTTCACACCTCCCTCTTTGTGAAGACACTCCCATGTCCTCCTCTTTGCAGATGATCATGTGGCCCTTGGTGCTCAGTGGGGTCATCGGCAACGTCATCAATGTGGCTGCAAACTACGTCTTCCTCTACGTGTTCCACCTGGGCATCATGTGAGTAGCACCTGTGTGCCCTGGAGAGGAAAACAGGGCACCTGGCAATGGCCAGGGGACACTGAGGTCACAAAGGTACAGCAGGATGTCTCTTTGCACCCTGAGGGAGGCATAAGCAGGAGGCCAATGACCTTTCTCACTTCCTCTGCAGGGGCTCTGCCTGGGCCAACACCACCGCTCAGTATTCACAAACCATTTTCTTGTTCCTGTACATCATAGGCAGGAAACTCCACGTGAACACCTGGGGAGGTAAGGGCATCTCCCTCAGCTTCCTGCTTTACTCAGAAAACTTCTATCAGGTGTTCTGGACAGAAGAGGAATTCTGCTTGTCCTGATGGTGGAATATTAACCCCAGCCCGAGGTGCCCCGGGTACCACAGTGCTGCTTCAGTGGCAGCTCGTCACGCACCACCACTGCCAGAGCTGTGTGATCAGCACTAAACATTAATTCTGCAGAAATGAAACTTCCTGCTGAGGCTTTGGAAGGTTCAGCTCCACAGATGTAAGCAGGAGGTTGTCCTTGGACACGGTTCTGGAGGGATGGGCTGAGGGTTGTGCTGCTCTGTGGCCCACGGGAGAGCATTAGAGAGGGTGCAGGTGGACACGGTGCTGCTGGAGATCCTGTGAAGCTGCTGGAGATCCTGTGAAGCTGCTGGCTCTGAGAAGAGGAATGGCACCTCCAGCTGCCCCATGGGCTGTGCAGGATGTAGCATGTGGCCAGTCTGTTCATCCATCAGGTGTCATTTCTCCTCTCGACAGGCTGGTCCTCTGAGTGCCTGCTGGAGTGGGACAGCTTCACCTCCCTGGCTGTCCCCAGCATGCTCATGATGTGCATCGAGTGGTGGACCTACGAGATTGGGAGCTTCTTGATAGGTCAGTGGAGAGGGGAGCTGCCAGGACATGGCCAGGCTTGGCCCAGAGCAGCACCCGGAGCCAGCACTGACCCCTCCTGTCCCGCAGGCCTGCTGAGCGTTGTCGAGCTCTCTGTCCAGTCCATCATCTATGAGGTGTCTGTTGTGGCTTTCATGGTAAGGGCTGGGTTTTCACTGCAAACCAGGGCTCCATGGGGGCTGTCCTGAGACAGGCACACAGCGAAAATCAGCTCCAGCAAATTCCCATCTTCCCCCTCTGCACTCGAGTCTCTCCCTGCTCCTGCCTATCCCTCCTTACGGATGCTTTAAATCAAATCCTGAACTCTGCTGGGTGTTATCCCCCCGTCACTGTGACAACCCCATGGTCAGACACATGTGAGCCCTGTGCTTGCAGATCCCCCTGGGGCTGGGCACAGCTGCCAGTGTGCAGGTGGGCAACGCGCTGGGCGCCGGCGACTTCCAGACTGCCAAGAGATCTGCCAGCACCAGCCTGGTCTGCACAGGTCAGCCCACAACAGCCTGGAAAGCCTCTTCCTGCCCTCCTTCCCATGGAGCAGGGAGTGTTTGCAGTGCTCTGCCTGCCTCTTCTGCCTCTGCTCTCCAGCCAGGCTGGGCTCAGCTCTGTGCTGTGTTTTCAGGGGTGTTCTCTGTTATTGTGGGGTCCATTTTAGCTGCCACAAAGAACGTGCTGGGACACATCTTCACCAAGGACAGGTGAGTGCCCCCAGCTCCTGGCCTCGGTGTGTGGAGGTCACTTCCCAAAAGTGATCCTTGGCTTTCCTCCACCCCCAGGGAGATCATTGACTTGGTGGCGTGGGTCATGCCTATCTACGTTGTCTTCCACTTGTTTGAAGCCATGACTGTAAGTCCCAGAGAATGCTGCTGTTTTCCATGAGGAATCTCGGTGCTCAGCAGCAGCGTCATGGATCAGGCAGTCGAGGGTCCCTCAGGCTGCAGCTGAGCACCAGTGCCCACACCAGGACCCTGCAGAGCTCCTGGGATCATCCCTTACAAAACACCGAGCTCATTAAAGGATGGTGACCCACAGGACTGGGCAGGGACACCGAAATAATGGGCAGAGGCAGGGAGCTGGGTCACCTCCTGAATTCGGTGGAGGTGATGCTCCCTGGCCCAGCCCCTCTCCCTCTCCTGGCAGGGTGCCTGCAGTGGGGTGCTCAGAGGCATTGGGAAGCAGAAATTTGGTGCCATCCTCAACGCCATGAGTTACTACGGTGTGGGCATGCCCCTGGCAGTTGTGCTGCTCTTTGTGGCCAAGATCGGTGTCATAGGTACTGACC